AAATTAACTTCATTTTCAAGAAACTTAAAGATATTACATTTCAACAAATCAAGTCCTCATTTATATGTAAAATTATTATCCCAATCCTCTCATTACTGATAGATGACAGGTCAATGACCTATAAACAAGGACTTTACACTAGGATCCTAAATTGTATGCTAAAGGGTTAATACGTTCAGAAATAGTCTTATTATATGAAATTTCCCAGAGATGTAAACTGTTTTAAATTTTAACATCTTTGAATCTGTGAAATACACTAATTATGGTAGAGGTGGTAAGATTGTGAGTAGTTTTTAGTCTGTATAATTTTTCTTTAATGTTGTTGGATTGTTTTTTAACAGCTTTATTGAGGTATAATTAATATAAACTGCACATTTAAAGTGTACAATTAAAGTTTTGATATATATACACACACACAACTGTGAAACTGTCACTAGAATTGAGATAATGCTTACCTCCCCAAAGTTTTCTCACATCCTTTGTTATTCCTCTCTCCTACCTCTGTCCACTTCTCCCCTTGAATTCCTCCAGTTTTTTTTTGTCTGACATTTTTTATTCAACATAGTTACTTTTTTCTTTTCTTAATTTTTTTTAATATATGGAATACTTTATGAATTTTCGTGTCATCCTTGTGCAGGGGCCATGCTAATCTTTTCTGTATCATTCTAATTTTAATATATGTGCTGCCTGCTGAAGCAGGTACCATTCAGTATAATTTCTTTTGAGAGTCATTCATGTCCTTTAATTAAAAAATTGTTATAAGATTTCTTTCCAGTCATTTATCTTCTGTTTGAATTTTTCTATACAAAAGTTTTACTTTGAACTTTAAGCATACCTTATTCTCCTTGCTATAACTGATAGGTCTGTAGTAATAAGAGCGATTTCTTGGGTATAAATGAATTATATCACTTAAAGTTAATTTGAAATTATGTGTCAGAAATTAAAAGCATTCTGATGACAAGAAGTATGACACACCAGAATCAAGCCAGGTGTACAAATAAAGTCTCCTCTAAATATAAATAATAGAAGGCCAGGAGCGGCTTGCACCTGTAATCTTAGCATTCTGGAAGGCCAAGGTCAATGGACTGCTTAAGCTCAGGAGTTTGAGACCAGCCAGACTAGCCTGAGCTAGAGCAAGACCCATCTCTAAAAGCAGCTGGTAAGCACCTGTAGTCCCAGCTACTTGGGAGGCTGAGGCAAGAGAATTGTTTGAGCCCAAGAGTTTGAGGTTGAGATCTGACACCACAGCATTCTACTGAGGGTGACAAAATGAGACTGTCTCAAAAATAAATAAATAAATAAGTAAATGATAAAAAATATAGATTTCTTTCAATTGTGTCTCATTTGCCTGTAATTCATTGCATTCTTTTGTTTCTTTTCAGACCAAGTGTTCAGTTAGCTTATTCCGGGACATTGGCCATCATTTGATTCAAAATAATAAAGTAGGAGGAATTAATTCTCCACTTTCCAAGCAAGTTGCTTCTAAGACTCTTAAAGAAGATAAAACAGTAAAAGAGAAGGATATAGATGGAAGGCTTAGACCTGGGGATGTGGTAGGTTGTTGAGAAGGTAATGGTTTTGCCTATTTTATTACCTTCCAGAGGCTTGCACTGATTTTTAATTTGGTAAATTATGTTAATATTCAAGTAGTTTGCATTTGATACGGTATAATTATCATTGTTCCTTCCATTATGAAGACCATGTAAGAATTCAACTTTGAGTTTTGTTCATTTTCTTTCAGCAAGCACCTAGTATAAAATCTCAAAGTTCAGATACACCTTTGGAAGGTGAACCCCCTGTAAGCAACAATCCAGAAGGACAGGTAACTATGCATAAAGTTTTGGAAAATTAAGTTTAATTTTATCAGACCTTTATTGAGCAAGGCAGTTAGAGTGGCAGATGTTCAGGGCAGGATATAAGTTACCACCTGCATATTTGTTTATGACTTTGTGTAAATTTCTTTGTCTTGTGAAAACTCTATAAAATGAATTGGTACCAGGCTAACTTTAAGGTCCTTCTCAGCATTAAAATTTTATGTCTTTTGATGATTCTACTATGTTAATAATCTCTATGACGGATGCAAAGCTGCACCAACCGCAGCATTTGTTCATCTATCCTCTAAACACTCAATAGGAGAAACAGTATCTAACCTAAGTAGTGAAAGATGAAGAGAACTTTTCACCAGATGACAATGAAGGGAGAGGCAGTTCAGGGCCATGGAACAGCTTTAGTCAAGGCACAGAGAGAATTTGCAAGAGCAGAATTTAGGGTACATCTGTTAATTCAGTGTGTAGTATATAGAAAAATGAAAAGAAAGAAGAGATTCTAGAAAGAGGTGAGGCAGGGTCATGTTAAAAAACTTGGGCTTTGGCTTGGCGCCTGTAGCACAGTGGTTACAGCTCTAACCACATATACCCAGGCTGGTGGGTTTGAACCCAGCCCTGGCCAGCTGGACAACAATGACAGCTGCAACCAAAAAATAGCCAGGCATTGTGGTGGGCGTCTATAGTCCCAGCTAATTGGGAGGCTAAGGCAAGAGAATCTCTTGAGCCCAAGAGTTTGAGTTGCTATGAACTATGATGCCATAGCACTCTACCCAGGGCAACATAGTGAGACTCTGTCTCAAAAAACAAAAACAAACAAACAAAAAAAACTTGGGCTTGGCTGGGTATGGCGCCTTAAGTTTATAATCCTAGCACTCTGGGAGGCCCAGGCAGGTGGATTGCTTGAACTCAGGAGGTCAAGACTAGTCTGAGCAACAGCGAGACCCTGTCTCTATTAAAAATAGAAAAAACTAGCTTGGTGTCATGGCAAGCACCTGTAGTCCCAGCTACTTGAGAGTCTGAGGCAAGAGGATCTATTGAGCCCCAGAATTTGAGGTTGCTGTAAGCTATGACACCACCGCACTTGACCCGGAGGAGGGAGGGAGACTGTCTCGAAAAAAAGTAAAAAGCTTGATCTTTATTCTATAGCTGTTGAGGAACTTTTGAGCCTCTTTTTGGAGACTCACATCTAAGGTTTTTATGTCACAAATAGGATTATGTGTGCTTCAGGCCAGAATTCTTGCAAGAGTGTAAAATAAAAGAGATTGAAGGCAAGATAGGGCTACAGGCTTTTCTTGTTATACAGATGAGTGTTGATGACAGTTTACTTAGTGCAGGGGTAAAGAAAGCCAGAAACCTGCAGAAGCAAGGTGTTTGGAATTGGAAAACTTTGGATGTATTGATAAAGAAAATTTAAAGATAACTTACTTTTTGGAAGGACAACAACCCCAGTAACAGAAAAGCCAGAAGAGAGGTCGAGATAGGGAAAATGATAAAGTCAATTTGGATATATTGTATTTCAGATGCTGGCAAAAATCTGAGTAGTATTGTCCAGCAATTGAAGTTGGTAGATAGTGGTGAGGAGTGAGAATGAAAAAAAGTAATGGAGAGAGTATTTTTGCAGGATCCATGAAAGAGGGTTGCCGAAAGAATGAATGAATTCACTTAAAACAGTTTTAAGGAAAGTGTTATGAACAAGTTAAACAGGGCTTCAGCTGAGGTAGAAGTTTCCAAAAATAAAATTGAAAACCCTTTCCTCCAAGAGATAACCACTATTGCAATATTTATTTTCAGTTATTTTTCTGTATTAGTTTTTATACAGGTGAGATCATACCATATATGTAGTTGTATCTGCAGTTTTTCCACATTATATTGTGAACATTCTCTTATGTTACTTAATTTTTTTCATAAATATCTTTTTTTCTGGAAATAATCAATGGGAAAAAATATCTCCATAGCAATATGTAGAAGCCGGAACATACCTTGTATTGGAGATTCAGCTAGACAAAGCCTTGGTTCCAAAACGAATGCCAGAGGAGCTAGCCAGAAGGTATGTAGCAATGCTTCTCACACCTGTTTCACACAATTTGGGTACAGGCAGTATGTGAATTATAAACACAACTCGCCCTTATGAACGGAGGCTATTTCAGCAAGTCCTTGAGTTACAAACATTCAACTGACATGTGGCTCACACTTAGAAATGGAGACGATTATGGGTAAGAGGTAAATGTACCTCTTCCAACTTAAGAACTAACCTACAGAAACTGTCTCATTGGTAACCTGGGGATAAAAACAATTATAATCCTGTATAACTAAGAGGAAGTCAGTTTGTCTCCACAATTGTAATTTTCCCTGGGCAGCAATTTTCTGGTCTTTTTGAATATAAAGATTTTTATTGTTGTTATTGTATCTCCTTATTACAAAAGTATTGTACGCTTATTACAAAAAATTTTAGAAAATGGAGATAAGCAAGGAAGTATATAAAACATCCAGATTTCTACTCACCTAGTCAGAACCATTTTTAATATCTAGGTGTTATCCTTATTTTTTTTTAGATTGCGGTTATTTTATTTTACAAATAGATAAAAGAAAGCAAGACAATATACTATAGTTGGCAAAAAAAGATTTTTGACATATTTAAGTGACAATTTATTCACACATATATAAAGGCTAATTATACATTGGGAAAGGTTTATAAGAAAGGGTTTTGGGGGGTGGTGGTGGTTGCTTTTTATTATAGGGGAATAAATGTGCTACGGTTCCTTTTAAAATAATTTTCTTAAGTAAAGATACGCTTTCATGACAGTAGAAAATAAATCGATTCACTTACCTACCAAAGAAATAAAATGTTGATGTTACTTCCTAAGTTAAACATACCTGGCAATTCTTAACTACTTTCCAAAAAGACTAAGGAGCTAGGTAAAAAAGTGAGGATTTTCCAGCTTCCAAATGATCAGGTAGAAAACGCAAGCCATCAGCTACCGAATTAGTAATAGCAAACTCCTATCCTTTTCCATAGGAGTTTGGCACTGTACGTAATTTACACACCACAATTCCACCTTTAACTCATTTAATAAATGAGTTCTATTTAACCATTATAAACTGTTAGGTCATGCTGACTATTCTTTTAATGGTTTTAGGCAAGTAATTACAAATACAACAATATAAATGTTGATTTCCTAGATTTGACAATTGCTAAAAAGAGTTTTCAGAACTACATTAGATACTAATGATAGACCTACAGAGGCTAATTTTATTTTATTTTAATTTATTTATTTTTTAACTGGTAACATAGTTATTTATTATCAAGTATTATATAACATGCTTAACTGTATGTGCTAGACTTTTATGGGACTGGCAGCACAGGTCTGTTGACACCAGCATCCGTGAGTAATGCGTGGAGCCACGCTGTAGTGACAGCTGTGACATCACTAGGTGACAGGAATGGTTAAGTCCATTATAACCTTATGGGACTACTGTCACATGCGTGTTCTGCCGCTGACTGGAACGTCACTGTGCAGGGCCTGGTGTGGCTCAGTGAGCTTAGTGACTACAGGACAGCTGCAGAAGGTGCTTTCCTTCACTTTTATGACTTATCCAAGCTCTGCCATGCCATCTACAAATTCCTTTTTGCTAAATTCACACTGAATCGCTGCCCTGAATTTCTACACTATGACCAAAACACTGACGCTGGCAGGGTCCAGGCTTAAATCATCACAAAATTGTTGGATCTCACCAATTCCAATTTTGTTTTCATCTTGTGGGTCTTTGTATCTGCTGTACAGCTGCTCCAGCTTCTTCCTGTCTACCATGTTCCGTGCTGATTCCCTGTCGAACGAGTCTGGGTTTTGGAAGAAGCTGTCCGTGGCCTTGTCT